CAATTGATGTCATTTTAGTTGCATTTGGGTAGTTACAACGTCCTTGTAGGATTTGATTCTGAATACAATTCCAAATGTACACTATAGTCCCTAAACCCCTTTACAGCATTGGGGTTAATAATTTTGGTCACAACTGTAGCTTGTGTTGAGTCAGGACGGACTCTTATCTGGCCTGCACCCACAGCCGGACCCACCAAACAGGGCCGTAGAAGTGCGAGCGGTGACCCAAAGCTTTATCCAGGTTTGCAGTGTCTGTCCACTTGTCATATTTTGATATTCAACCAGGGGCGGACTGACCATTTGGAAACTTGGGCACTGCCCGAGGGCCCGGGGTCAGTAGGGGGCCCCATGAGATGCCCCTGGGTACCTTCTTCATTGGCTTTTTTGAGTTTGGGCAATCCCTCTATTACCCGGGGGGCCCCATGAGTTGTCAGTCTGTCCCTGTATTCAACTATGTCCATGCGGCTGTCCGCTTCTATGGGCTGCCTGCGTGCAGCTCCGAGGTGGATTGACAAGCAGCAAAAAGTGGCTCAGCATGGAGGATGACTCTTTGCGCTCATCTGAATGGGCCCCTAAAGCTGCAATTCAGACGGCAGGAAACCTGATCCAAGGCAGCACAGAAACATTTGATAATCATCATCTATATTAAAAGGTACGATTTTCAATTTTTGTTTTTTCTTCAAAGCGATATCCATATCAATAGGCCGCTTAAACCATCTAAATTGTACAATAAGCAATTCTTTCCTATTTTTGCATGTCTGGCAAACGACTGATGTGGGGATCATTTCCGAAAGAACAAAACATTCCTGTGTGTTGCCACCTGAAAGGGTCTGTCAACCCAATTTCTCTTACAAAAATAGCAATTAACATTTACTGATCTCTATGGTAAACCTTTTAAAAGTGCTCATCACAGCTGAAGATAGCACAGAAAACATCCTGGTCCTTGGAGAAGACATTTCCCCACCGAAGGACATTGTAGGTAGCCTATGGTAAACCTCTACGAGCCTAAAATGACAGATGAAAAATATTAAATATCTCAAATTTTGTACAGCTATGGGACCCCATTAATTGAAACTGGTAGCACTGATACATCATGGTAGTTGCAATTTTACGTTTCCCGGTCCTCAAAGCTTCTTTGAAATTATTAAAGCCGTGACACAATGTGGTTGAAAACAGGACAGAGACGGGACGGAACAAAAACAGGAGAACACAAACACATCACAAGACATTTTATAGTAAAAGCAAGACTGACCACTGATAAAGTAAACCCAGCGGGCAGCAGCCTAGTTTCCCTTCCGACTACAGTACAAAATGTTCAAGTTTCTAAGATGTAAGAAAGAGACGTAGACTAAGAGGCTTTACTAAAAGCAACCCTTTACCACGTAATAAAATGATGCTTTTTTTTTGTTTTTTTTTTACTGTAATTGATACTCACAGTGAAAAAACTATTCTAAAAAAAATTAAAGAGACTCTGTCACCAACTTGAAAAATTGCAGGTAAAAGCACAGAAAAATCAAGTATTTTAAATGCTTATTTGCAGCATTTTTCCTTTCCATAAACAATTTATTTTCTTTCCTTGCAATGCGCCTTTGAACATGCCAAGGAATTTCTCCATTCCAGTAAGGGCTCGTTCACACATGCTTTGATCTCTGAAGAGCAATCCTCATTTCAGATTGCTCTTCACAGAGCATTTGACAGGCAGTGATGAGGTATTGTATTTTCTCCTCACCACCTGCTGTAACCCATTGAACCCGCATTAACGCACGCACTGCTTGCAGTTGCAGGAAGCTTGCAGAGCAGCCCTATTCATTTGTAAGTGACGGGGTATCATTCCTGCCAGAAAGCAAAGCATCATGGCCGCAGCATTCGTACACCAGTATCACCTCCTCACCGGCTGCTTCAACCCATTGAACCGCACACTAGCGCACGTATTGCACACAGTCACAGGGAGCTAGCAGAGTGGCCCCAGTCACTTCAAAGCATCAGGGGGTATAATTCCTGCCGTAAAGCATCATGGCCGCAGCATTCGTACACCAGTATCTCCTCCTCACCGGCTGCTTCAACCCATTGAACCGTGCACTAGCGCACGTATTGCACACAGTCACAGGGAGCTAGCAGAGTGGCCCCAGTCACTTCAAAGCATCAGGGGGTATAATTCCTGCCGTAAAGCATCATGGCCGCAGCATTCGTACACCAGTATCTCCTCCTCACCGGCTGCTTCAACCCATTGAACCGTGCATTAGCGCACGTATTGCACACAGTCACAGGGAGCTAGCAGAGCGGCGCCATTCACTTCAAAGCATCAAGGGTGTAATTCCTGCCGTGTAGTATCATGGCTGCAGCATTCGTACACCAGTATCGCCTCCTCACCGGCTGCTTCAACCCATTGAACCGTGCACTAGCGCATGCATCGCACACAGTCACAGGGAGCTAGTAGAGTGGCCCCATTCACTTCAAAGCATCAGGCGGTAAAATTCCTGCCGTGAAGCATCATGGCCGCAGCATGCGTACACCAGTATCGCCTCCTCACCAGCTGCTTCAACCCATTGAACCGTGCACTAGCGCATGCATCGCACACAGTCACAGGGAGCTAGCAGAGTGGCCCCAGTCACTTCAAAGCATCAGGGGGTATAATTCCTGCCGTAAAGCATCATGGCCGCAGCATTCGTACACCAGTATCTCCTCCTCACCGGCTGCTTCAACCCATTGAACCGTGCATTAGCGCATGCATCGCACACACAGTCACAGGGAACTAGCAGAGTGGCCCCATTCACTTCAAAGCATCAGGCGGTATAAATTCCTGCCGTAAAGCATCATGGCCGCAGCATTCGTACACCAGTATCTCCTCCTCACCGGCTGCTTCAACCCATTGAACCGTGCATTAGCGCACGTATTGTACACAGTCACAGGGAGCTAGCAGAGTGGCCCCATTCACTTCAAAGCATCAGGCGGTATAATTCCTGCCGTGAAGTATCATGGCCTCAGCATGTGTACACCCCCAGTCTCTGCCTCTGGGACATTAAAAATGCAGCTCAAATATGGGGTTCTACTGCCCCTCAAACGCTGGTGTGAACGAGCCCTAAGGTCGATTTCTAAGCACAGCCACAGCTCCTCCTCCTGCCTACTAACTACATCAAAACCTTCTCCTCTCCTGGGACTAATTTCTGTCCGCCAGCCTAGCTCCTCCACCCTCCTCCCTCAGTCACAACATCAACATGACTGCAAATCCACAAACAAAGCAGATTTCAATGTAAAATGTGTAGGGTGGAGGAGGTGTCAGCGCCGTTATATATTTTATTAACTGCCCTGCACTTTCATAAGACAAGAGGCTGCCCTGGGAGTCAGCCACATAAATGAATGATATGGCAGTTGGGGGGAGGAGCAAAGTGTAATACAATAGAGCACGGGTGTCAAACTGGCGGCCCTCCAGCTGTTGCCGAACTACAAGTTTCACGAGGGCATTGCAAGATTAACAGTTACAAGCATGACTCCCAAAGGCAGAGGCATGATGGGACTTGTAGTTTCGCAACAGCTGCTATGAGGGCCGCCAGTTTGACACCCCTGCTATAGAGTGTCAGTAGAGTGAGCTCTCAGTCTGCTGACATCACATCCAAGTCTGCTGACATCACATCACATCCAAGCGATGAAATGAAATCGGCTGTTGGGGGGTGGAGCTCGCAAAGATGTAAATACAATAGAGTTGTCATTACTGACGAGCCCTCCAGCTGTTGCTCGATCTTACAAGTTTCACGCGGGCCATTGCAAGATTAGATCAGTTACAAGCGTGACTCCCAAAGGCAGAGCCTAGCAGCAGCCTCAGACCTCTACACAATCAAGGCTTTTACAGGTAAAAAAATGCCTAAAATATGTCAAATGCTCTTCCTTTTCTCTATTCTTACCTTTTCCCCTTTCTCCCCCCCCCCCTTTTTTTTCGTCAAGGATGTTCAGTGATTTTTAGCGCTGGAATTCCATGTGAACTGTATTTACACTGACTGCCTTAAGTTTGCCTGTTCTCATGTACCTTGCCTTGTTATACTTTTGTAAGATTTCAATAAACGCAACTGTTAAAAAAAAAATATATGTTAAATGCACATACAATCTCATGAGTAGATTGCTGTTGAAATAAATTGTTTGGCAACAGGGTCTCTTTAATCCTGTCCAAAGCTCTACTAGAGTTTTAAAAATGCCAAGTTCCCAGAGCGTAAAACGCAGTAGGATTTTGACACAGGAAGTCTCTGCTCCCCATTATAAAAAGAAATGCAGCCACCTTCTGCAAGGTGTTGAAAGGCAATTAAAAATAATTGCTGCCTGCATGATTTCAGCTGAAAAACTTCCAAGGCCGCTCAACACAATTGAGACTTGAGGCCGGATTCACATATGTAGCACAAGGAAACTCTTCCTAGAGTTTTTAAACGAAGTGAAATGAAGGACACATACTGCTGTGGGGCACGTCAAGTTAAGCGCAAATAAATAAAGACGCTGCCACCTTACCACAGTACGCAAAGCAGAAACATATTGCTCTCTGGCTTCATCGCGGACAAAGAGTCCCTTCGAGCCCAAGCTGTTGCTCTGAAGCCATGGGTTGCATAAGCTGGCTGTGTCTCATATTGTATAACTGACCAACGCACGGCGTATCAACCAAACTCTAAGAAGGTGGTGCTCCCGCTCCCCCCCTCAACGCGTGTTGGTCCTGACAGCAGCTTTAGGGTTAAATAAGGCAAGACATTGCAATGTCTGCATCAGCCCTTAGAAGGTCTTCAATTTCCCCCCTAAACACAAGGGAAGAGGAGAAAAGGAAAAAAAAAAAAAGAGTTCATGAGAGCACCCATTATTAGTGCTTGCATGCCGTAACAACACCCTCCAGGCAGCACCAAAGGGTCAACATCAAAGAACTCAATAATAAAAGGATGGCTAATAGCTTGTGAGCCTTAAAGAGGTGCTTGGCGGCATTTTGGTTGTGCCCGCTCTGTTTTCCGCAGAAGGCTGCTCTAGCTGTAGCTCTAGTCCGTAAACTGGAAGATGGTGTCGGGGTTATTGCTCTCGGATTGGCTCGTCGGCTGCAGAGTCTTTGTTGGAGAGGTTTTACCATGTGAGTGGGAGGAGTGAGAGCTCTCGCTGGAGCTGCTTCGAGTCTCTGTACTGGTACTTGTCTTCTTCATCTTCCTGCGCTTTGCCAGTGGGGCTTTGTCCACATTTTGGAGGAGGAAACCTTCCCGCTTGTACTTATTGAAAGCCTGTGAGACAAGCAAAAAGAGTGCATGAGTTTCAGTGCTATAAAACACATGCTATGTTGTCAGAGGTGCATGTTCAAGTGTTGATGGGTGAGGAGCAGCAGAGTAACAGTAAAGAGACCTTCCAGTGTTAGGAATAAAAAAAATGATTTACGACTAATGGGTTCATGCACTCAGAGAAACAAAATGAACGACTTTTTGCAGAAAGCATCAATATGTAACAATGTAACAAACACATTTATATTTTAATTACTTTTTAACTACTAACAACGCCACCATCACTCCCACCCCACATGCCAAAGTCCTGGGTGTCACCCTGGACTCCCACCTCTCCTTCCTACCCCAAGTCCAATTGCTATCAAGATCTTGTAGGCTCCACCTCCGCAACATCTCCCAAGATACGCACATTCCTCACCCCAGACACCACTAAACAACTCGTACACTCCCTCATCATCTCACGCCTGGACTACTGCAACTCCCTCCTCACCGGCCTACCCAAGCGAACGCTATCCCCACTCCAGTCTATCCTGAACTCAGCGGCGAGACTCATCCACCTCACCAACCGCTCCACATCCCGCCACCCCCCTCTGCCAATCCCTTCACTGGCTCCCGATTGCCCAACGCATCAAATTCAAACTGCCAACTCTGACCTACAAAGCCATTCACAACGCCGCCCCAAACTACATAACTGACCTGATACCCAGATACTACCCTACCCGTGCCCTCCGCTCCTCACAGGACCTCCTACTCTCTAGCTCCCTGGTCTCCTCCTCCCACGCCCGACTGCAGGATTTCTCCAGGACTTCCCCCATCCTCTGGAATTCCCTACCCCAATCCATCAGACTGTCAACTACCCTCATCACCTTCAGGCGCACCCTGAAGACCCACCTCTTCAGGGAAGCCTACCCCACCCTCACCTAACCTCCTCCACTCCTCCCACCACTCCATTCCCCACAGCCATTTCCTCCTGTACCACCTCCCCCTCCCTCCTAGATTGTAAGCTCGAAAGAGCAGGGCCCTCGAAGCCCTCGTGTATTGTATTGTTACTGTACTGTCTCATGTTCTGTCCCCCTTGCTATTGTACAGCGCTGAGCAAACCCTTTGGCGCTATAGAAATACTGTATAATAATAATAATAATAATTTATTTCAGGTAATTATAGCTGTCAATTCACGCAGCACTTTAAATACTTATATTGTACATTTACCTCAGTCCCTAACCCTAAGGGATGTACAATCTAAGGTTCCTAACCCACAATAACGTACCTGTGTGGACCCCGGAAGACTGTGCTGTCATTTCCTGCAGCACAAGTCGATCAGTGGGTCCCAGCCATTGATATATGGCAGGAACCCGCTTATCAGCTCAGGGAATGACAGGAGAGAGCTCTGTGTTGGTAAACAACACAGGGTCTCTCTTCATATAGCAGCGTTTTTGTTTTTTTTTCTCCCTGCAAAACAGGGAGTAAAAAACTGGCACATTGCCTAGTAAAACAGCACACAGTGTGCACACTACACATTGTTAGGCACACAATTAACTCCTTGATCGCCCTAGATGTTAACCCTTTCCCAGCCATTGTCATAATACAGTAACAGTGTATAGTATTACCACTGATCACTGTATTAGCGTCACTGGAAATGTCAGTGTCATTTACCAATGTCAGTCAGTGTCAGATTGCCCACCTCACTAGCGAAGTATTAAAAAAATAAATGAATACATTCACATCAGTCCCTAACCCTCAAGGAATGTACAATCTAAGGTTCATACATACACATAAAAGAGCCAATTTAGACAGGAGCCAATTAACCTATCAGCATGTCTTTGGAGTGTGGGAGGAAACTAGAGTACCTGGAGGAACCCCACGCAAGCACAGGGAGAACATGCAAACTCCTGGCAGGTGGTGCCAGGATTTGAACCAGTGACCCTAGTACTGCCAGGCAGTAGTGCTAATCATTAAGCCACTGTGTTGCCCACCTCTCATAAGATCATCAGAATGATCAGATATTACAGAATGTATATCATAAAAGTCTAGCGCTGCACTTTTATGATATACGTTTACATTGGGACAGTTACCGATACCTTAAGTGCTAGCAGCTATTTTTTATTCGTAAATAATTTATTTACATAATTTTACATGTAATTTTTTAGAACTTGCTTTCATACTCTCTATTTATGTGAATTTATGAATATATGAATTATTACATATACCCTACAGTACTAATGACTACTAGGTAGAATACTTACTATAAGATCTCATCATATGCGCTCGCTTAAATTTCTTTATAGATATTACAGCATGCCGGGAATTCTAGCCAAACTCTTTCCTCGACAACCCACGACCTTCTGTCGCTGTTGCATACACTTTGGCACCTTCTTGCCTATCTTCTGGGACTGCCCTGTCCTGCATACCTTCTGGAGATCGGTCCTAGAGATTGCACAACACACCATGGGCATCTCTCTAAAGCAGTGTTCCTCAACAGGGGTTCCGTGGAACCCCAGGGTTCCGCAAGAGGTCCTCAGGGGTTCCGCCACAAATCAACATTGTGGTGGATGCATACTGCCCAATGCTGTTTGCAGTAGTGTTCTTAATGCACTGTGACAGTCAGTACCGTCAGCGCGCATTGATTCCTGATGCCTCCTCCTTAGTTCCAACTCTTGAGAACTCAGAAGAAGGCGCCAGTACTGCACAGAGCGATCGATGGGAGGGAGCACAGAGCGTAACCCCATTACTGGCCAACTAGGTGAGATCTCTTAGCGGTGCCAGCAGAGTCCAGGGAAGGGGGTGCATAGGGGGGCAGAGAGAAGGAGCACTGTATATGTAGGGCAGCCGTCAACACAGACTTGAGGTTGAGCAGAGAGAAGGAGTACGTAGCTAGAATAGGAGGGGACATTCAGTGTTTGGCAGCAATGACGCAGACTGCAGAGAGGGGTAGCGCACAGTTGGAAGAGACTAAATGTAGGGGGAGGTGAGATCATATTAGCTCTATGTTATGCCATAACTGTACATAAAGCTATTATGAGCTCACCTCCTGCTACATTCAGTCTCATTCAGCCATGTGCCCCCTGCAGTCTTCATTCAGCATTGCCATACACAGGATGTCACCCCCTGCTACATTATTCCATGTGTTCCCACTCTCTGCTTTCCCCTTCCACAGTCTGCATTCACTGCTGCCATACACAGGATATCACCTCCCGATCAAGCCACGTGTTCCCACTTTCTGCACTCCACTCGATGCCACCCTCTGAGTTCACAGGAACCACAACCACAGAGGAGGCATCAGGCATCAATGCGCACTGTCAGTGCGTATTAAAAACAACATTGGGTGGATATACATCTGCCACACAACATGGATCTGCGGTGGAACCCCATGTGAGAAACCCTGTGTTATGGATTTGCAGAGCTGTCCCTTAACCAATCCCTCCACCCATTGCTGCTACCTGCCTGTCTTGTTTGCACTGTGCCAACTATTTATTTTATTCTGATTATTATGTATGTTTATACTATTATATATATATATATATATATATATATATATATGTCGTACTGTTATTTACTGCACTGTTCCCCACATGTCCTCCTCTTCTGTCTGTCTCAGGCTATTAAATGTAATATCACCTGGGATGAACGAGAGGTGGGCATGTGGAGATCAAGGAGAAAAGGCATGTTACAATAACAGCTTCCCTGCACTGCTCTGCATTTGTTTAATTGTTGTTATATCTACAGCTCCCTGATCAGATCCAATGTTCCGCAAGCTGTAAATCTGAAAATGTTTTTTGGAGGTTCCCCAAGATCTCTGCCAAGGGTTCCTCCAAGGTAAAAAAAAAGGTTTAGAAACACTGCTTTAAAGCATAACCCTGGAGCTATTTTTCTCCACGTGAACATTACGTTGGGTAAACGGTACAAGAAATCCGTGCTCCTACGGCTGCTAAACGCAGCTAAGGCTTGCATTCCCAGTACTTGGAAAAGCACCTCACCTCCAACTGGGAGACAATGGTTTGTAAGGGTAAACGATGGCCAAGAAATGGAGGATCTTACAAAGGCCAATATGGACAGAACCTCAGATGTGAATAGGAAATGATTCTATTGGAACGATTTTAAATACTCCTCCAAATACAACCCATGGCTAAAGGTAGCTGCCCCTCACTCGAATGGATGGGAGGCCACCTACTTCTCTATTTGTTACATCAGCACTGAGGCAGGGAGCCCAGTGGGAGGGTATTCCATGCCGAGAGAAATAGAGAGAGAGAAAGAGAGAGAGAGTGTGTGTGTGTGTGTAGACAGTAATCGACCATTATCCACCCCTTCCTCTGCACCTCCCCACCTTTTTTTTTTTCTTTCTTTTTCTCTCTCTTCCCATCCCCATTACCCAACTGACGAGCTGAACATCCCCCCCACCCCCAAATTTCATTTTCTATGTAGAAAGATTGTAGATCTGCTTTAACGACTATACCAGTACATTTGTTATACAAGTATCTCAGACTCTCACATGAAAAGTGGCTTTGACGTGCGTGTGTACGGACGCTCCAGCAGAGCCGAGGACATCGGGAGTCATCAGAGGGTTGGAAGATAGTTGGCTGCCATCTTGAAGCCATTCATTTATATCTCAGTGTTGACATCTTAATTCTTTTATTAGGATCCACAGTAAGAAGCCCTGAGCAAAACAAAGCGACATTGTATGGTCAGAAAACTATAACACACAAACAAACATCGACTACATAGTGTGGATATCACTGAAGACCAACTTCAGGCTCCATGCTTTTCCCACAAGTGACCCCCCCCCCTGTGTATATGCTATGCTTTTTTTTTAATATACTTACCTTTATCTGATGTCCTCTGGCTGGTCATGTGATGCACTAAGTCCTCTTCCTCTCCCAATCTTCTCCAGCGATGGGTGATCCTCGAAGATGCAGGGAGCAGTGCTCACGTAAGAAAGATGAGAATGACGTTGGGCATCATTTTATCCAGAAGACTGGCACCAGACTACAGAGTGGGGAGTCTGGGGGACAGCACCAGAGATGGAGTAAGAACAGTGACAGCTGACTCCCGGGTTCATGCATTATTATAAAGTTAATATTTCATATTTAGATGTAGCTGGTCCTTTGGAACAATTACGCAGTTTTTTTCTTCAATTATCATCCACAAAAAAATGTACAAACCCAGGGATCCAGAGTGTTCTGTAGGAATCCGCTGCTTCACACCCAGCCTCACATTACGGTCTATAGGTCGCCATCTATAGATTGTGATTATCATCGGGAGCCGGCGGTATCTTCTGGGTTTTTGCAGCTGGCCCCCTGAGGAAGTGCATGTGCTATGTCATGACATCGGGGGGCCAGCTCCATAAACCAGGAAGAGACAGCCGACTCTCAGGTGATGCACCATGAACCGTGCACAGTACAGTGCCCCTGACACCTCCTGGGATGCGTGATGTGGATATCACAGGAGGTTGCGGGCTACAGTATACGTCATTCTCGCTTAAGAAAGAAGGATTACCTGAAAAAGGTAATAAGAAATAGAAAAAGTCCAATTCTGAGAAGAGGAAAAGAAGAGAAGGGGGCAGTAGGTGTGCGACGATCAAAACAAAAAAAAAAATTAGAAATATTGGAAAATCACATAAAAAAAAAAAGAGAAAAATTTACACAAATGAATATTCATTCAAAATAAAAATGAATAGTTTAAATATAATACAAATATAATAAAAATGTAACCTAAAAAGATGTGCTCTAGGCTTTTTAACATTTTAGATACCTATAAAACATCATCTTGATTTTAATTGTATTACTGAATGGGAATGTTTGAAAAAACCTTTGTACACAGAGACTGGAATTATGTATGTACCCTGATTGTTAGTGACACCAACATATTGTTATGTCAAATCCTTTAACCACTTGCCCTCCTAAGGATTTACCCCCTTAATGACCACGCCTCTTTTTGCTACTCGGCGCTGCACTAATTCAACTGATAATTGCGCGGTCATGCAATGCTGCACCCAAACGAAATTTACGTCCTTTTTTTCACACAAATAGAGATTTTTTTCGGTGTAATTTGATCACCTGTGCGCTTTTTATTTTTCACGCTATAAACAAAAAAAGGCCAAAAATTTTGAAGAAAAACAATATTTTTTACTTTCAGCTATAAAAAAATATATAGTGAACTCAAAGTTGGTTATAAATTTAGGCCAAAATGTATTCTGCTCCATGTTTTTGGTAAAAAAAATCCCAATAAGTGTATATTGATTGCTTTGTGTGACAGTTATAGCGTCTACAAACTATGGTATAGATGCTGCAATTTACGCCATTTTTCTGCTATACAGCGCTGCGCTAGTTTAACGGACAATTGCGCGGTCATGCAATACGGTACATAAATGAAATTTACATCCTTTTTTTCCCCACTAAATGAGCTTTCTTTCGGTGGTATTTGATCACCTGTGCGGTTTTTATTTTTTTGCGCTATAAAAAAAAAGGCTGACAATTTTGAGGAAAAAAAACAATATTTTGGACTTTTTGCTATAAAACATGTCCAGTCAAAAAAAATGCAAAAATCAAATTTATTCATAAATTTCTGCCAAAATGCATTCTGCGACATTTCTTTGCTAAAAAAAAAATCCCAATACGTGTAAATTAATTGGTTTACGTGAAAGTTATAGCGTTTACAAATGGCGGGAAAGATACTGGAATTTTTAATTTGTATTTATACTAATAATGGCGCCGATCAGCGACTTATGGCGGCAATCAGCGACATATGGCGGCGACCAGCGACTGGCAGGACTGCGGCGGACATTTTGACACTGGGGGGGGGGGAACTGACTTGGGGTCACTGACATCCCCAGTGACACCAATACAGTGATCAGTGAGAAAAAACCACTGAAACTGTACTAATGTCACTGGGGAGGAAGGGGTTAACATTTTTAGAATTTGCTGTGTAAGGGGAGTGTTTTACTAGGGGGCGGGGGTGTGTACTGGAGGGGGGGGGGGGAAGAGAAACTCTGCAGCTTCTCATAAACTGTCAGAGAACTGACACAGAACAGGGCTGTGTGTAAACAATGCAGCCCTGCTCTGTGTCAGCGATCACCGTCAATCGCGGGAAAACGGCCGGTAAAAAACGGCCGTGACCTGGCAGCTGACACCCGCGGGACAGGTAGGGCGGGCACGCGCCTCGCGTGCGCCCCCTACCTGTTTTGAAGGCAGCCGTTTTAATTGTTTTTGTTTAATTTAATTTGTTGTAAGGGAGACGGGCTCAACTGGTATTGGCCGTGATAACCATACCCCAGACCCAGGAACAGTCCAAGCAGGTTTGTCCTGTACATTAATTCAGAAAGGTAATAAAAACACACAGTCTCAATGCAGAAAGGGGGCCAGCTCCAAAAACCAGCAACTCCACAGCATAAAACAAACAAAACATCTGCTTGTCTGAGCCACTAATCAACCCCTTCCCGCTCATCCCTGGAGTGCCTTTAATTATTGTTATTATTATATTATTATACAGGATTTATATATAGCAATCGAGTTTGCAAAAGCACTTTACAAAATGAAGGTAGACATCACAGTTACAATACAATTTGGTACATGAGGAAACAGAGGGTCTGGCTCGTTACAGCTTACAATCTAGGAGGAAGGGTCGAGTGATACAAAAGGTAATAGCTGTATGGGGTGATGAGCTGATGGAGGAGATAAATGGCAGTTTACTAGTTAGAAGCAGGATAGGCTTTAAAGAGAAAGGTTTTCAGGGATCATCTAAAGGTGGATAGATTAGGAGATAGACAGATTGGGGTAGGGAGTTCCATAAGATGGGAGACGCTCGGGAGAAACCCTGGAGGTGGCATGGGAAATAGAGAGCAGAAGGTCTTGGGAGGATCGAAGAGAGCGGATTGGTTGATATTTTGAGACCAAGTTAGTGATGTAGTTGAGTTGTGGATGGCTTTGTAAGTTGTTGTTAGTATTTTGAATTTTATTTGTTGTGCGAGTTGAGGCCAGTGGAGGGATTGGCAGAGAGGGATGGAGGACACTGAATGGAAGCCAGTGGGAGGGATTGGCAGAGAGGGATGGAGGACACGGAGTGGAGGCCAGTGGAGGGATTGGCAGAGAGGGGTGGAGGACACTGAATGGAAACCAGTGGAGGGATTGGCAGAGAGGGGTGGAGGACACTGAATGGAAACCAGTGGAGGGATTGGCAGAGAGGGGTGGAGGACACTGAATGGAAACCAGTGGAAGGGATTGGCAGAGAGGGATGGAGGACACTGAGTGGAAGCCAGTGGAGGGATTGGCAGAGAGGGGTGGAGGACACTGAATGAAGGCCAGTAGAGGGATTGGCAGAGAGGGGTGGAGAACACTGAATGGAAGCCACTGGGGGGATTGGCAGAGAGGGGTGGAGGACACTGAATGGAAGCCAATGGAGGGATTGGCAGAGAGGGGTGGAGGACACTGAATGGAAGCCACTGGAGGATTGGAAAAGAGGGGTAGTAGATACTCAACGGTTGGTAAGGTGGATGAGCCTGGTAGCAGTATTCATGATGGACTGGAGGCGGGATAGCCTATGTAAAGGTAAGCCAAAGAGGAAGGAGTTGAAGTAGTCGAGGCAAGAGATAACCAAGGAATTAATTAGGAGCTTTGTGGTATCATTGGTTAGGAAGGGGCGTATTCTGGAGATGTTGCGGAGGTTGAGGCGGCATGATTTGGACAGGGATTGGATGTGGGTCTGAAAGGATAGTTCAGAATCCAGGGTTACCCCTAGTATCCTGGCATGCAGGGATGGGTTGATAGTGGTGCTATTGATCCTGACCGAGAAATCGGGGGGAAGAGGCACGTGGGGGAGGAAATATTATGAGCTCAGTTTTGGATAGATTGAGTTTTAGGAAGTGGTGTGACATCTAGTCTGATATGTCTGTTAGTAAATCGGTGATACGTGAGGAAACTGATGGGGTGAGCTGAGGCGTAGAGAGATAGATTTATGTCATCAGCATAGAAATGGTATTGGAAACCTTGGGAAGTTGACCTGAGGAAGAAGTGTAGATCAAGAACTGGAGAGGTCCAAGGACAGAACCTTGGGGGACCCCAACAGTAAGAAGAGTAGGAGAGGAGGAAATAGAGTTGTAAGTGACACTGAAGGTGCGGTGAAATCGGCAAGATTCGAACTAACGGAGAGTACAGTCACAGAGACTAAGTAAATAGAGTTTTTTTGAGGAGGGGATGGTCAGCTGTGTCAAAGGCAGTGGAGAGGTCCAAGAGTAAGAGTATGGAACAGTGACCATTGGTTTTAGCAGTTAGTAAGTCGTTTGTGAGTTTTAGGAGAGCCATTTCTGTGGAGTGTTGTGGGCGAAATCCAGACTGAAGGGGATGGAGAAGGTTATTCTCAATAAGGTGGCAGCTCAGCCGGTTGTAGACTGGATCTTCAAGGAGTTCGGAGGCAAAAGGGAGTAAGGAGATGGGTCTTAGGTTGCTAAGATTGGTGGGGTCCAGTGAGGCCTTTTTAAGTATGGGGGTGACTAGCGCATGTTTTAGAGAGCTGGGGAAGATGCCAGTAGAAAGGAAGAGATTGAAGATATGAGTTAAAGAGTGAAGGACAGAGCCAGAGGGTGACCGTAGTATTTGCGAGAGAACAGGGTCCAGGGGGCATGTGGTTAGGTGGGCTTTAGAAAAAAGTTTACCAACCTCCTCTATTGTAGCTGGGTTAAACAAAGGAAGTATAGATTGTGTAGGTGGACAAGGGGTGTAGGGTGAGGGAGATATCTGTACAGTGGAGTTGGGGTCTGTACACCAAGGGGGAGGGAAAGATCAGCGATCTGATCAGCTGTCACATGACTAAGTCTCGTTCTCGGCCAGGCTACTGATCATTTATGGAGACCAAGAGCTTCTTTTTTTTTTTTACTTTGGTGGTGGTGGTGGGATGTTGGAGGAGTTGTCTTTGATGTGCTCTCAGCATGGAAACATTGTCTGCCTAGTGGCAGATATGTGCAGCATATGGACATTAAAGCCACCCTTTTGCCACCGCAATAAGTGTTATGTGGGTAGCAACAGGTAAAACTTGTATCAGGAAGCTAAATCTAAGGGGCCTGCATTGCAAAACTCTCCCTGCTTTGTTCTATGGATCACTGCTTTCCTCCCAGTCATGGGAGGAAGCTCTGAGATGAGGCCTGCTTCTCTACTAAGTTGGCAGCCCTACATAGACATACAGTGCAGAACAAGGCATCTCAGTAACAGGGGAAAAGGTTAGCTGGAGGGAGACCACAGCTTCCACATAACTATTTAAAGCAAAACTAAACCCTCCTATCCTTTTCAGGCAAGGAAGCTGCCATCTTGGCCTCTGTTTGATCTGCAATTGCACATGTGATCAATTATGACATCAGGCACTTGATGGTTTGACAGTCTGGATGAGAACACAAGCAAATGAGACAGTAGCATTCCTGGCAAAAAGCTGCCAATCGATTTTATTGCTGCTATGTAGAGTAAATGGTTAATTTTAAAAATGGGTCCACTTAAAAAAAGTGTAGACTTATCCAGGGGCGGACTGACAACTCATGGGGCCCGGGCAATTGGGGATCATGGGGCCCGTGTCCTTGCCCACACTCAAAACACACCCAAAAAAAAAAACTATAAAAAGGTACCAGGGGCATTTTATGGGGCCCCCTACTGACCCCGAGCCCTCGGGCAGTGCCTGAGAGCTCGAATAGTCAGTCCACCCCTGGACTTATCTCTCATGCTCTCCCCACAATTCTCCTCCTTTGCTGTTCTCTGAGTGAATGCTTTTTAATTTCTCATTATTCCATATACTGTTTTTTTAGAAATCTAAACCAGATGCCCCATTTTTCCCCAAGATTTGGCAAGTGGAATTTTTTGCAGCAATGAAAACAGAATATATTTATAAGTCGAACTAACAATGCACAGGACTCATTGTGCAATAAAGCCACCTTTTTGTTTTGTTTTTTTATTGTAACCTCCCTAATTTGTAAAGTGCTGCCAAAAGCAACAACACTATGCAGTATAAACAACGAATAATAGTTATAATAAATAATACACACAAATACATATTCATGGTATGCCTGATGGTTTACCACTATACCTTGTATCAAATCTTTAGCCTCCTGTGAGACGTTTTTCCAGCTGTCTCCATCAAAGGAGAAATCTCCCTGCTTTATCTTCTTCATGATGTCTTCTGCTGTGGCGTACGTCACCATCCTGTCATGACACTGGAAAGGCACCTGACCCGACAGCATTGTGTACTGAAAGAAAGAGAACAGTAAGGGCTCGTTCACACCACGGTGCAGAGTTTTTTTCTGCACACGTTCTGCAAGGGCACAACAAAATCAATTGTTCTCTATGTGTCCTGTTCACACCACAACGTTATTACCACGTGAAGATTTTTTCCGCACAGGAATCTGCGGCCTGAATAAAATTCATTGCAGCGCGCATGAAAACCAATGTAAACTGACATCTCTGCAAGTGAAATCTGCACTTCAGTTTCCATCAGTTTTTCTGCACGTGTGTGGTGTGAACGAGGCCTGAAAGGTAAGAGACAACAGAGAAAGTTGGGAAGAACAGTGGCTAAATGGTTAGCACTTCTGCCTGGCAGTACTCGGGTTGTTGGTTCGAATCCCAGCCATGGCACCACCTGCCTGGAGTTTGCATGTTCTCCCTGTGCTTGTGTGGGTGTCCTCCGGGTACTCCGGTTTCCTTCCACACTCCAAAAGATATGCTGGTAGGTTAATTGGATCCTGTCTAAATTGTCTCATGTATGTATGTATATGAGTTAGGGACCTTAGATTATACACTCCTTGAGGGTTAGGGACCTTAGATTGTACTCCCCTTGAGGGTTAGGGACCTTAGATTGTACGCCCCTTGAGGGTTAGGGACCTTAGATTGTACGCCCCTTGAGGGTTAGGGACCTTAGATTGTACGCCCCTTGAGGGTTAGGGACCTTAGATTGTACGCCGCTTGAGGGTTAGGGACCTTAGATTATACGCTCCTTGAGGGTTAGGGACCTTAGATTGTACGCCCCTTGAGGGTTAGGGACCTTAGATTGTACGCCCCTTGAGGGTTAGGGACCTTAGATTGTACGCCCCCTTGAGGGTTAGGGACCTTAGATTGTACCCCCCTTGAGGGTTAGGGACCTTAGATTGTACGCCCCTTGGGGTTAGGGACCTTAGATTGTACCCCCCTTGAGGGTTAGGGACCTTAGATTGTACCCCCCTCGAGGGTTAGGGACCTTAGATTGTACGCCCCTTGAGGGTTAGGGACTGATGTGAATGTACAATATATATGTAAAGTGCTGCGTAAATTGACGGCGCTATATAAGTACCTGAAATAAATAAATGTGAGTTAGGGACCTTAGATTATACTTCCTTGAGGGTTAGGGACTGATATGAATGTATTCATTTCTTTTTTTAATACTGTGTTAGTGAGGTGGGCAATCTGACACTAATGGACACTGGGGGGGGGGGATTGAGTAAATGACACTGACATTTCCAGTGACACTAATACAGTGATCAGTGGTAATACTATACACTGTCACTGTACTAATGACAATGGCTGGAAAAGGATTAACATTTAGGGAGATCAAGGAGTTAACTGTGTGCCTAACAATGTTTAGTGTGCACACTGTGTGCTGTTTTACCAGGCAATGTGCCGGTTTTTACTCCCTGTTTTGCAGGTAGAAAAAAAATGGCTGCTATATGAAGAGAGCCCCTGTGTTGTTACCAACACAGAGCTCTCCCCGTCATTCCCTGAGCTGATAAGCAGGTTCCTGCCATATATCAATGGCTGGGACCCACTGATTGGCTTGTGTTGCAGGAAATGACAGCACAGTCTTCCGGGGTCCACACAGGTACGTTATTGTGCCTTTAGGAGCTGACCTGCCGCAGTAAATGTACTGTGGCAAGTTGGCAAGCAATTACAAGGGGAGGGGGGTTGGGGGGGTACGAGTAGGTTTAGCCTTTTGACTGAACTTCCACTTTAACCTAAAAAGCTGGTCATAGATGGTTCAATTCTCAGCTGGGTCAGCCGGGACTGGCCGAGATCCGAACCGTCTATGGACAGGCTGATTGTACCCAGTTTGATTGTTGTACAACTGGGGTACAAGTAGAGTGTTGGGTTTCTACATGCAATTATTGCCAGCGGTAATAATGACTGTTTTCCCGGCAAGGATGGCTCACTGCGACCCCCCGCCCCATCCGCCAGGAGGACATAATAGCTCCACGGGAGGGATTCCCCCATCAACACTGACTCTGTTGATGTGGGAATTGAACGATTTTCTTTTTTGCAACCCGTGGTAGCAGGAAAAAAAAAAAAAAAAAATATCGCATTGTCTACGGCCTGCCTCCCATACTTGGGAGTTCCATTTCTGTTGTGAACTAGTTGTATGTGGCGGTCATTGCCTGTAGTAACTGAGGTGTTTAGTAGAATCACATTTTAATGCCCCAAATTACATCAATGATCTTGTCTCTAAATTTCACCCAAACCGTACTCTCCGCTCCTCGCAAGACCTCCTGCTCTCTAGCTCCCTTGTCTCCTCCTCCCATGCTTGTCTCCAGGACTTCTCCAGAGCTTCCCCCATCCTCTGGAACTTTCTACCCCAATTTATCAGACTATTGCCTACTCTGCTCACTTTTAGGCGATCTCTGAAAACCTCTCTCTTCAGGGAAGCCTATCCTGCCCTCAGCTAATAATGGAATCTTCTACTCTTCCAACCAGTCCATCCCCCACAGTTACTACCTTTTGTACCACTAGCCCCTCCCTCCTAGATTGTAAGCTCCCAGGATCAGGGCCCTCCTATCCCTCTTGTATTGAACTGTATTGTTGCTGTATTGTCGCCCGTTATATTGTAAAGTGCTGAGCAACTGTTGGCGCCATATAAATCCTGTAAAATAATAATGATTAACATCTAACTAAATTCATTTTAATAAAATTCACATTCTAAATCTTTCTCCCTGGAAGTCACTGTAGCCCAAAGTTGTTATCTTTTTTTTTTTTTCTATCTTTCTACTCACTAGAATGACCCCGAGACTCCACAGGTCACATGACTCATCGTAGCCATTATGATTCAGGAGTTCCGGCGCGGCATAATGCAGCGTGAAGCAGGGCGTTTTTCAGCGGCTGGTTATCCGGAGGCTTTAACCGGGCAAAACCGAAGTCTATAATTTTTATCTCTGAACTGTCACTTTCGTCTGTGAAAAGAAAATTCTGAGGAAAAAAAGAAAAAAACACAATGAAACATACAATGACCAAACAGGAAGAGCTGCTTAACACCCCGCAATTATATTTTACAGCCTTCATGAGGCACTTGAAGGACGTGACCGTTCAGTACAAGGCAGATTTTGGCACATTATATGGAGAGACAGGACAGCAAGGATGAGTGAGGATAAATCTCCCCAAAGTAGAAACAGCATTTTCTTACTAGTGCGGGGAAGAGTGAGAATCTTTGACAGGTTATCTTGCTGTCTGTATCACATTTTGAAGGGAATTCCCTCCTCTTGATATGTGCAGGTGATGAGCACCAGATAATACAGGAAGTGAGAGAAAAATCTCCCCAAAAGGTGACACATACAGCTTTAGTCCTCATGCACACGGGATGTTTTTACAGGCGCCTTTTTTTGCTTTTATCCTGAGGTTTTTTTCTACAGCTAGTAAACGCCCCCAGCATGTTATCCTATGTGTGTGCCATCATCCCCGGCATGTTATCCTATGTGTCCATCCCCGGCGTGTTATCCTATGTGTCCATCCCCGGCCCCATCCCCGGCATGTTATCCTATGTGTCCATCCCCCAGCCCGGTTATCCTGTGTGTCCATCCCCGGCGTGTTATCCTATGTGTCCATCCCCGGCGTGTTATCCTGTGTGTCCATCCCCGGCATGTTATCCTGTGTGTCCATCCCCGCATGTTATCCTATGTGTCCATCCCCGGCATGTTATCCTGTGTGTCCATCCCCGGCATGTTATCCTGTGTGTCCATCCCCGGCGTGTTCTCCTACGTGTCCCCGGCCTTACCTATGTGTCCATCCCCGGCGTGTTCTCCTACGTGTCCATCCCCCGGCGTGTTCTCCTACGTGTCCATCCCCGGCGTGTTCTCCTATCCCCGTGTCCATCCCCGGCGTGTTCCTCCTACGTGTCCATCCCCGGCGTGTTATCGTGTTCCATCCCCGGCGTGTTCTCCTACGTGTCCATCCCCGGCGTGTTCTCCTACATGTCCATCCCCGGCGTGTTCTCCTACGTGTGTCTATGTGTCCATCCGGCATCCCCGGCGTGTTATCCTACGTGTGCATCCCCGGCGTGTTCTCCTACGTGTCCATCCCCGGCGTGTTATCCTACGTGTCCATCCCCGGCGTGTTCTCCTCCTGTGTGTGTCCATCCCCGGCGTGTTCTCCTATGTGTCCATCCCCGGCGTGTGTTCTCCTATGTGTCCATCCCCCATCCCCGGCATGTTATCCTATGTGTTCATCCCCCGGCATGTTTATCCTGTGTGTCCATCCCCGGCGTGGCATGTTCTCTATGTGTCCATCCCCGGCATGTTATCCTGTGTGTCCATCCCCGGCGTGTTATCCTGTGTGTCCATCCCCGGCATGTTATCCTGTGTGTCCATCCCCGGCGTGTTATCCTGTGTGTCCATCACCAGCATGTTATCCTATGTGTCCATACACACATATACTGGAATCAATGTTTTTTGGATGGAAAAAAAACCCAGGAGTAGTGGGTTTCTAGAGGAGTTTTTTAGCTGTAAAAACGCTCTAACGCTGAAAAATGTGGCAAAACGCAGTAAATCATGGCAAAACAGTGTTTTCAGACTTTTTTTGACTAGAATAAAAATTAGAAAAAAAAACCACTGAAAAATGCAAACACGAAAAAACAGGGAAAAACGCTGCTAAACACTAATACAAAAATGATGGAAAACTCATGTTTTTAACCCCTTGGCACCTCCCGGGCCCTTTAAGGGTTTAAGGCAGGAGGCGGGGTTTAAGGGTCATGTGACCGCCATAATTCGCGGTCACGGCAGTCACATGATCGGGAAAGGTCCCAATCAAAAGAGGAGATCGGGACCTTTACGTGAGTACCAGATATGTGTGCTGGGAGCGTGCAGCGCATGCGCTCTCAGTACATATGTTTTTCTTAATTGCACGCAAATGTGTGGCCGCTCGGCATCTAGGCCCAGAAGCCAGGAGGCCGCAC